GCCTCACACCGTTGACCTATCCACGTCATCATTTACCCAGAATGCTTTGTGTGTAAATAAAATGGCCCTGTCTGTGTAATATATTCTTAAACTTTGTTCAAAAAATTATAAAAACTGAACATCCTGCAGTATTTTTACAGTCTTTGTTTTACAGTTAAAATAAATTTTTATTAAATAAAGTCTAATGTTACAACTAATCATGGATCCCTTTAAATAATTGCATCAATAAAATCTGAAACTCTCACATTTTCGTTATTGTCAAAACAGGTGAAGGGTCCTTTTCGATAGCGTGCCACCATAATTTCTTCACACGGATTATCCTCCATGACTGAAGGATGACGCAGTTGAGGAAGAATGAACATAATTTGGATTCTAAGAACAACCTTCAAACAAATGTGAAACGTCTGTATTTCCACACAGTTACGGTGATTATTTTCTTCTTCTTTTTTTATCTGTGCCAGCTGGTGTACAGCATGTAAAAAGATACACTCCTCTTCTTCTTGGGAAAGCTTCTCTYTCTCACAGGTGGTGCACGGCAGCTTCTCTGCTACCACAAACAYCAAGTTGGTGTTGTTTATTCTCTTGGCGTGAATTAGCCTGCAGAGACAGAAAGAGAGAAAGAGACAAGGAGACAGCTCTGTCAACAACCTCCCTCTGCTTGCTTGCATCTTACACTCATTTGCTAATGGATCAGCAAGATTTATGAGACAGCCTTACAAGGCTCATTTAGCCAGTATTACAACCATTTCATAGGAAAAAAAAAATGCAGGTTTATCATCAGCCGTGTTTCTGAAGCTGTTTGCTGCCTGTCTCTCAGTCGCAGCGTTATTTTTCACGTTTGTGTTTTTCATGTGTCTGAGTGTATTTTGAAATGACCTGGAGCAGTTGCCACAGTCTTGGAGGATGTTATAGGAGCTGCTGAGATTACTGAAGTAGAACTGGGTTTGGATCATTATGCAACTCCTCTCTTTTGGCTCGGTTCCCTCYGCATCCACCTCATCTGCAACATCAGCAGAGCAACATACGTATGGGACAACTCGGATACATCCGATCAGAACTCAGGTTCTGCAAAGGTCTAATTATAGTAAAAACTTCATGAAGGAACGGATCAGAAAATGTGCACATCTAGAAATTTTAGCACGTTTTGATTTTCACCCACCTGTGACAAACCAGCTGCGGTAAGCCAAACCATACAAAAGCTGCTGGAACAATGACCTGCAAACATGACGAAATAGAATTTGTGTAAAAACAAGTGCAGAATTTCAAAAAATACATTTTTTGATAAAAAAAATTAATAACTTCGCATTAGCGATGCGACATGTACCCGTATCGAACTGTTCAATACAGTGCTTTAGGTTCAGTACACAGTATGTATCGAACAATACGGATGTTTTAATTTATTTTATCAGCTTGTCTTCTGAAGATGCTCTGTGTCGAACGATCAGTGGATCTGTGTTCGACTACTTCACCTAGGCTGCATTTTCGAACACAGATCCACTGAGAAACTTGCTGTTTCAGCAACATTTAATTTAAAAACTGTACTTTTGAGGTTAAAAGAATGTTCATAATTAATTTAAATAAATTACAAGTTAAAAGAGGCACGGGAATTTCTCTTTTTAATATCGAAAAAATATGGAAACCGTGAGACTAAAGTATGGAACCGAATCATGAATTTTCTGCATCGTTGCACCCCTACATAGCATGTAGCATCGTAGTTTTTATCTTAGGTTCTCTATTCTTAAAGTCTTCCATCATTCACATTATGAATAAATGAGAGGAGACTGTTTTTGCTGCTCGTTTGCAACACCAACGATAAAACAACTGTGTCACTCTGCCATAGCTCCTTTTTATTTATTCATTTTTTACACTAACATCCAACTTCTTGTCTACCAACTACAGAAGTAGGAAACTCAAACAAAACTCTTATTAAATAAAACATAATTCATCCATCTGTCCGTCTGTTTTCTTCCACTTATCAGGGGTCAGGTTACGGGGGGCAGCAGCCTAAGCAGAGAGACCCGGACTGCCCTCTCCCCAGACACTTGGACCAGCTCATCTGGGGGAATCCCAAGGCGTTCCCAGGCCAGCTGAGAAACATAGTCCCTCCAGTATGTCCTGGGTCTTCCTCTGGGCCTCCTCCCAGAGGGACGTGCCAGGGACACATCACCAGGGAGGTGTCCAGGAGGCATCTTAACCAGATGCTCGAGCCACCTCAACTGGCTCCTCTCGATGTGGAGGAGCAGCGGCTCTACTCTGAGTCCCTCTCGTATGACTGAGCTTCTCACCCTACCTCTAAGGGAGAGCCCAGACACCCTGCGGAGGAAACCCATTTTGGCCACTTATATTTGCGATCTCGTTCTTTTGGTCACTACCCAAAGCTCGTGACCATAGATGAGGGTAGGAACGTAGATTGATCAGTAAATCGAGACACACCCGGCCCGCCAATTGGTTCATTCATCTCTTAAGCCCAAACCCCTGGTTTTCTACTTTAATTACTATATGTTCTTTTAGTTAGACATAAACATGTGTGGTATCTACAGAAACATCAGAATTTTTGCTAAAAGCTGGTAAAAACTATTTCTATAAAGACCCAAGACAGTTAGAAATACAACCATTTAAAGATGAAACTAAGATAAGTAAAAATAAAATTGGTTTAAAAATGTCAGATGTCAAAAATAATTTTTATGTTAATTGGGAGGCATAATGTTATTTTTGTTTTTGATATTTTAATTGCACAACTTTCATTACATTGTACATACAGTACATGCATACAACATACATTGTGTGTTGTATGCATGATTAAATGCAGCAAAATAAACTAATTTAAAGCTGACAGATCTTTGTAATATTTGGTTTATTTACATAATGACTTTCTTTGCTGGATGTTCGGCCCCTGAGTTGCTGGTCTGCACTAACTGCAATTTAGCTGAATAACCATGGTCTACAGGTAGTGTGTGTGTGTGTGTGTGTGTGTGTGTGTGTGTGTGTGTGTGAGTGTGTGAGTG